TGGGCACTGAAGTCTGTGGTTAGCTCAGTGGTTGTCTAATGATTAGACAGGAATTTCCTTAATGCCTTGAGCCAGTGAGTTCCCCAGTCTTTGCTGACTGGCTTTCAGTGTGTGTCGGGGTTTGTGCTCAGTGCTCTGGCAGATAGTTTATACTTTGCCTTCCCTTTTTTCCTTCATATTCAGCGTCGACATCAGCCCAAGTGAGGCATTAGTGCCCTCTCAAATATTTCCTGGGCAGGCACATGTCCTCTCACACAGGCACGGCCTCTAGATTCTGGGGAATATTTCATTGCTTTCAAAGTTCCTATGGGCATCTCATTCCCCAGCTTTAAAAGTTTTTTGGACAACTTCTTTGTCCTGATTGTATTGCCTCAGTCCATTGTTATGTTGGGTGATGGTTGCTGACATATTTTGATCACATCCTCAGGAAAAAGAAGCTCACCCCAAGGCAGCTCTGAGTCTGGCCAAGTGATGACAAGCCTGTGAATGGGGTTACAGGGAACATAGCACTTTCTATCATGTATACATTTTGTGTAGAGAGTCACAATTAATATAATAATTGGGAACATGGCAGTCTGAGAGCAGGTGTTTTGAGGAGATCCAGACTTGTTAGCATTTCCTGTGGATGCCAGGTGCCTGGTTTTCAAACCATCACAATTGTGAGCAGTAGGTTTTCCACTGCCAAGCTGGAGACAGAGCTGGGGTACATACACCCAAACAACGAAAAGCTCACTGTTACTGAGATCAGGCCCTTTAATTTGAAGAAATGCTCCTTGCATTATTGCAAGCCTTTGTTCAACCTCTAGAGTTTTGACAACGTTAATTTTAAAAGGTTTTGCCAGTGTTCTCTTTACTTCTTTTAAGCATTAGATTTTCAGACGTCCTTTTATTGCCATTTTGCAGGGTTCATTTCCTGTTTGCCTTATGACTGCAATATTTTCTCTATCTCTTTGGAAGAAATCAGTGATATGGTCTTAAAACTTGTGTTTTCCACCAACATCTCTCTGTCGTCCAAGTTGGAATTTTTCAGTATGTGGTTGTTTTGCTCTTTTTCATTTTAGAATCTTTTCTCAGGTATCCTATAGTCCTTGATACTCATAATTGAGTACCAAGTACTGAAAAGCTTACTAAAAGCTGAGTGTTTGGATGGAGCTTGTAAACTTTGAGATTTTAGTATTTGCTTCTGGTTTAAATTCTAGTTTTGTTTTTTTTTTCTTTCTTTTTTGCAGTGCTGGTGCTCAAACCCAGGCCTTGAGCATCTTAAGCAAGTGCTGTACCACTCAGCTATATCCCAATTCAAGAGAATTTTTAAAAATTCATATTTTTTATTATACGTTTTTCTAGGAAGAAGTTAAATCTAAGTCTTATAGTAAAAAAAAAGACAAAATTGTTTGGATGAAGAATTTACTTATAAAAATTCAAATTCAGAAAAACTAGGAGAAAGTGAATAGTAGTTATTTGTCAAATTAGTAAAAGAGATTCATTGACTCATTTTGAGGGGTGCAAGGGATTGAACCCAGGGCCTCACACATGCTAAGCATGCACTGGCCTCAAGAAATATGTTTTATATTGCAATCCAAAGATTTAAAGTAAAAGAAATACACCTACAAAACACTTAAATAGTGACAATGCAATAACACCATTGGCCAAAGCCAAAAAGTAGCAGACAGTATCTAAACACACTTTCTGAACTGGAACAGCTGGCTTAATCCTCAACAATAATAGCTACTGGCAATTAACTCCTTCCCAATTCAAATAAGTGATCAATCAAGAAGATAGGAAATTGTTTGCAATGTAGACTATTTATTTTACTCACATCAAATTAGTCTACATTTCATCATTCTTATAATGCAACGTCCCCCAATTTTCTTTTTCTAAATTCCTGAGGGACACCTACACAGGAATGTAGGTCTAGTTTGCAGGTCTAATTGCTCAGTTTACACAGGTCTAATCTTAGTTCTCTGTAGAGCTACTGGGAACCAAATATATATAAATAAATATATATATCCCACTTTACATAATGTTCAAGTGCTACTCTTGTGACACATGTTTCAGTGAACACTGTTCATCTACCTCTTCACACTGGAAGAAGCAGTTCCTAAATTTCTCTCCAGTCAGATACCTTTTAGAGGAAAGGTAAGTTCAGGAATACCCTATCTTCCCAGCCAATAGCCTCATTACACTAGTGCCACCATGCTCACCATGTTGTTGTCTACATGCATTTTAAAAACTATATTTCTTTTTTGCTACATAAACACCAGGACACACCATGACATTATCACAAAAGCACGGAACACAATGCACTCCAATTCATTTCCCAGCACTTCCCACCCCACCCACAGCCCATCCCACTCCTCCCCACCCTCCACTCCAGAGAGATACCTCTTTAATCCATTTAGAGCTTACTTTTTAAAAAATTAGAATCCTGTGGATACACCCATTTCCAGGACCTACCATTCCACATTCAAGCATGTACTTCCACTATCCTTCCCTTTTCCTGTCCTTCCTCCCTTCTCAATCCCCTCATCTACTCTACTGATCTTTCCTCTATTTTGATGAAATTCCCTCTCCCTTTCTCTGTTTTTGTTTTTACCCCTCCCTTATTTTGGAGATAATAATAAAAAAAAGTCCAACCTTTGGGAAAAAAAAAAGAAATACATCTAATGGCTTCAAAGGGTAATGATTATATCCTCATTATCTTTATTTTACTTTTTTTTTTTTTTGATGCTGAGGATTGAACCTAGGCACATTTTACCACTGAGTTTTTAAAAATTTGAGATAGGGTCTCACTGAGTTGCTTGGGATCCTGTTAAACTGCTGACTGGTCTTAAGCTTGCAATCCTCCTGCCTCAGCCTCCCAAGTGTCTGAGACCATAGGCGTGCTCTGCTGTGCCTGGCTTTGAACTTGTGTGACTCACCCCCTTAGACTTGTGCCTGGTTGCACTTCAGTTCCTGTGCTCAGAGTGGCAGACAAGTGTCAGTATTCTCAAGAGATGTTGTTGTTGTTCCTCTGTCATATTGCCAGGTTACTGCTCTCTTGAGTTGGTGACGTTGGTAGGAGACATTTTGGAGGACACTATTGAATAAAGGGGGGAACTAAAAAAAGAGTGTTGAACTGGAGGGAAGGGCCCTCTTGCCCCAGGAAATTCCGAGTTAAGATGCAGGTGCCAACCACAGTGCCCTTTTCAGTGATCTCACACCTGATTTCTGCCACACCTGATTGTGGTTCATGTGGTCACAGTGATTAGATCACACCACTGATAGACAACCCACACACATTCTATTTATTATTGGGAGTACTCTCCTAGGTATGGAGGAAATACTTGCCCTTTTCCAGTGATTTCAGGGACACCAGGACTAGAGGTATACCTCAGCCTAACTTGAAATCCTGTAGGTGAGCTCATGTCAGAGGGTGTGGCTGTGACAAAATAAAGTCACACCTTAGTTGAGGCATGCCCTGGCAACCTGTATAGTGATAGTTTTTATGGGTTTGCCAAGCCATTGGAGATCTTTGTGACTTTAAAAGGGAAGGCAATGGAAACATCTTATGAAATTGATTCTAAGGCATCTTTCTGGATCTTTAGTAAGCACTGGATTTGAATGTGAGTGATACTTTACTCATATCTGGTCCTGGATGGAAACTGGAGTTTTATTTCAGTGTACACTTTGTTAGTGATTGCCTGGAGCAATTTCAGGAAGGATTATAAAGCTACATCTGAGCTTTGATGGAAAGATGACTTGAAAAGATTACGATACCTTCTATGGGAAGAAGGAGAAGCAGTGTATGAGGCTGGTTCATCCCCTTCATTTTAAAAGTTGATCTGTAGTTTTGGCTTCCCTGACACTTTGAATTAAAGCTCCAGAGGTTAAGAACCTTACACATTTAGCATTGAGTTAACTTGGTGCTAGGCACATCATGGATGCTCAGGTGTTGTTGAAGGAATGAACTAAGACCAGAATGTGTGAAATGTCTAAAGTGTTCCAGAGTGAAACAGGGACAGGGTTAGGTACCAGCTCTCTAACACCGTGATGAGACTCTCCTAAGTGATCATCTGTGGGTACATGGTATAGACACTGAAAGAATACTGCTCCCTTCTCACTCCCCAGGGGGCTTCCATTCTAATTTAAAACAAACATTTACACAGGATGGTGTGTAAGAAAGTACTAAATTAATAATCTGGTCCCAGAAATGAATGTCATAGGTTTGACTGCAAAGTACTTCCTTTGGAATCTCAACCTTTACACTTATTCCAATGTATCTGTGTTTTGCTCGGGAGACACTTTTTTACTTAACATTAACTATGAGTTAATGCTGTGTGCACCCTTTTCTTCTCATTTTTGATGTCACTAGGATGGAATATTTTGACTGATTAAGGAGTTTTGCTTCAATTTAAATGCCAAGGTGAAATGATCCATTAATAGAAAACAAATGTCATGCAGACTTTCTAAGTTGAAAATTATGCAGTCACGACGTTGGTTTCTAGAGAAATTATTTATAACATTTTGAATTAAGTATAAGCCACAGAGAAGCCTTTGTAGTGTGATATTAAAGGATTTTTAAAGCTTTATCCAAAGAACTGGAAGTCTGGGCTTAGAAATAGGAGGAATATGCACTTTTTATCGTGAATACATTTTATGTAGGGAGTCATGATTAATATAATAATTGGGAATGGGGGCTATGGATTCCACTGTTGGGTCTGGAATCTTCCCCTTAGTAAGATGTGTGTGGAGGTGATTTCCTCCTCTATAGAATGGGGTGATGGTAATCTTTCATGAGACTCTTGTAGGATTAAATGTGATTTCTAGGTAGAGCGCTTATCCCAGTGCAAGGACCATAGTAGGTGCTCAATTATTATTGTATATTGCTAATATCAAAATAAAGCTGTGTTATTAAGTGCATTTGTATCATTTTATTGGGGTGGAACTCAACTTCACCTTAATGTTTGTTAATTATAGATAGCAATGGTTAATAGTTTGTTTACATTTTTGTTTTCATACAGGCTGAATGTCATTTTTACAAAATTTGATGAAGTCCAAAAATCTGGAAACATGATACAATCTGCAAACGGTGAGTGGAAAAAGCAGAATCTGCTTCTGCCTTTTCGGTTTTATGTCAGCTTATGCTATTTCTGAGCAGCTGAACTAGATAATTTTTAGTAAGGGCTTCTAAGTCTTAAAACTTAACCTTCATTCATCCACTTTTCCCGGCCAGGAACTATGGAGTCATCACTGACTTTGTTTCATAACCCATAATGAATCCATTAGCTAATCCTGTCGGCTTGGCTTTTAAAAATTCTCAATTCTCACCATTGCTGCTGGTGTCTTCCTGGTTCAGGCCATCGTGGTATGTCACTTGGGCACTGTGGCAGCCTCTCAGCCATATCCTTGCTTCTTCTTTGTCCACACTTGAAGTCTGTTTTGTACATAGCAACCAGGGTCATAAATCAGGTGCTGCTAATTTCCTGCCTCACATCCACACCCAGACTACAATTCAGTGGCTCCCCATGGTCTACCTGCCCCTTTGTGATCTGGCACAGACCCCCATTCTGATGTCATTCCTACTGTTCTTTCTGAAAGTTCTCAGCTCCTGCCACATTCAGCAACCTACTGGCTAATTTTGAACATTTTGAGCATCCCTTGTTTCAGGGCCTCTGTGCTTTCTGTTTTTTGTTTTTCTTTTTGGTACCAGGAATTGAACCCAAAGATGCTTAACCAGCTCTTTTTATTTTTTATTTTGAGACAAAGTCTCACCAAGTTGCTTAGGGCCTCACTAAGTTGCTGAGGTTAGTTTTTTACTCATGATCCTCCTGCCTCAGCCTCCACAGAGCCGCTGGATTACAAGTGAACGCCACTGTGCCCCGCTTCTCTATGCTTATTTTTCCTTCTTTCTGAAACATTCACTCTGTGGTATCATGTACCCTCTTCCTCACTTCATCCTGATCACTGCTGTAGCATCCCTTCATTAGAGAGCCACCCAGAACAGCATGTCTAGTCCTCAAGGGATCTCTGCCCTTAACCCTGATTGATTCCTTCTAGCACTTATCACAGTAAATATTTGTTTGCTCATGAAGGCAGGAACTTAATTTTATTTTCTTTTTTTTTTATTCCCACTGAGCATGAGCTTAGTGCCTCAAATATCCCAGAAATGTGGTAGGTATGAAATAAATATTATTGAATAAATGAAATGAGCTGCAGCCTATTGTTTCTAGCTCCCTTTTTCTTTTTAGTATACAGTGAGCTTGTTTTTGAGATCAAGTCAAATTCCAGAAAAGAAGGAAAAGACAGGAGTGAATTACTGCATGAATGAAAAGTCATCAGAAGGTCAATTGCCCCTAAGAACTTTTAACTGACAATATCATTGCATCATACCTGTTTTAGAATTGTTAAGGGTCATATATCATAAAATAGCCTTCAGATTTTAAGTATTTTGAGTGTGTCAAAAATGTTGCATGCTTGGTATGTAAGGCCAGACAGCAGGTAACGAGAGTTCAGGTCTTTTTTTTTTTTTTTTAATATTTAGTTGTTGATGGACCTTTATTTAATTTATTTATTTATATGTGGTCCTGGGAATCGAACCCAGTGCCTCACACATGCCAGGCATGTGCTCTACCACCGAGCTGTAACCCCAGCCTGAGTTTGGGTCTTTTGACACACTCTGCTGTATACCCACCATTATTCCATTATTATTCCTAAGGAATTTTGCTTTGGATAGCATGCTTCTTATAAAATGCTTAAAGTGATTTAAAATTACTTTTATTAATCCCACTTACTTATTTTTCATGATTATAAAAATATAAATTATATTAAAAGAAAAAAATGAATAATATTTATCATTATTTAGCTATTACCATCAAAAATCATTTTTATTTCATAAAATTTTTTTATAGTTCATTTTCCTATAACTGTATAATTTTGTAGATAATTTTATTTATGGCATCATTTTCTCTGTTAGCTTGCAAATTTGTATATGATTTTCATGTCATATCCTGGGTAAAGCTTAAAACTGAACTCTGGTGTCTGAGTTGTGGGCCGGTGATGAATGGAACTGATGGATATCCAGAGGTAGGGACCCAGGCAGTTAGCTGCCTGACACATGCTTTTTAGTTTTGTGTGAACTTGTTTAGTTTGTGTGGTTTCTCAGTTTAAAAACCATTGCTACTAAGATAAAATGCTGGGCAAGGAATTAGAAGTAGTAGCAGAAAAGCAAGTTTGTACTTTATAGCCTCTCCTATCACTATGAAAGTGAATCTCATTATAGTGCCAGCATTTGGGGAAAGAATCAAATCTGTATTGGGGCCTTTTCACTGTGGATTTCACTGAATGTGAAAAATATAAATTTAAGCATCAGGAATACCAAAGTTGTGTAACACTGGGTGCATCATAGCAACACTGTAATCTAAATGTCTAGGTGTAAATATTTCCCCCACATTTCCTTATTTTGTGTGTGATTATAAGTGTATCCGCTACTCTTTGTCTGCAGGTGTATATGGGCTTAGGGTAGGATTGAAGGTGAAAATAGTTCTTTTAGGCATCTGTGTTTAAAAAATAGCAAATGGTAAGGAAGACAATCTAAAAATTCTTGGGGTTCTATACTTTTAGCTTCTTACTGTGATAATGTAATATTAATATTTAAATGGTTAGAGCCAAATATGGTTATTTCAAGGAAAGAAGTAATATAAATGCATATGTATAAAGGTAGTTTTTATCTATTATTTTTCTGAGTTTTTGTATAAAATCCAAATGATGTTACTACTCCCAAATGGTGATACTACTCTATAGAACTTTGAGAGCTCAGTAAGATGTTCATTAACTGTCAAATAACAAACTACTTAATTTTCTTCTTTGCTAAAGATCACTGAACATTTGGGTGGTATGAAGAAATTGTAGCAGCAATGGAAAAATCTGTCCCTCTGTCCTGCTTCTACTCCTCCTCCTCCTTTTTAAAAATTTTTGCTCAACAATTCCCATTATTTAAAAAGATGAAATTGTTTTTTAAACTTTCTAGACTTCAGACCATTGACTGTTCTACTTTCTCAAAGCTCATTCACTCTGCTTTCTTCAGTTAGTAAAGAGCTGAAAGTATAGACCTGCATGAAATTTTAAGCTAAACAAGCTTAGATTGCAGTTTTTCAGAACTTAGTGATTTTGTAACTTCTTGGAATGTTCTATATAATTATCATATCATCTGCATATGAGAACAGTTTTCTCTCGTATCTGTAAGCCTTCTTACCTTATTGCATTACTATAGCTTCCTGCACTGTATAGAGTAAGACTGAACAGTGTTGCTGGTTTCCCATCTTGGGTCTTTCACCATTGATGGGATGTAAGCTGTGGGGTTTTTGGTGTTCCTTATCAACATGAGGTAGTTTTCATCTATTATTTTTCTGAGTTTTTGTCACAGATAGATATTGGACTTTTTTTTTTTAAGTCCTCAGAATATTTTAGAAATTGTGAATACACATATAGTTCACCTCCTAAAATTTCACTTTTTTAAAGTACAGGATTTAGAGCTGTTTCTTTTTTATGCTTAAAAAAAATGTTCATGCATCACCATCGTTTAATTCTAGAATATTTCATCACTCCCAGGAAAAACTGTGTCCACTAGTACGAACTTACTATTCCCTTCTGCCTCTCATCTCTAGCAACCTAATTTCTGCTTTATGGTTTTGCCATTTGGGGCATTTTATATAAATGGAGTCACACAATATGTGACTTTTCTGTCTGGCTTCTTTCACTTTAGCATGCTATTTTTAACGTTCATCTATATGGTAGCATGTATCAGTACTTCTTCCTTTTTGATGGTTGAACAGTATTCCAGTGTATGGATAAATTGCATTTTCTTTATCTGTTGATGGACTTTTGAGTTGTTTCTACTTTTGGTTTATTGTTACAAATGCTGCTGAAAATGTTCATGTAGAAGATTTTGTTTTGGATATACATTTTCATTTCTGTATACCAGAGTGGAATTGCTGGGTTATATGTTTAACTTTTTGAGTGACTCGCACTATTTTCCAAAGTAGCTGCACTGTTTTACATTCTTAACCAGCCGAGTAAGAGAGTTCCAGTTTCTACACATAATTGCCCACAGTTGTTATTGTCTTTCTTTTCTACTTTAATTTTTCTTTTTCTACTTCAGTCATCATGGTGGTGTCTCATGATTCTGATTTGTATGTCTCTAATAAGTAATAATATCTTTTTTCAGGTTCTTATTGACCGTTTATATACTTTCTTTTCAGATAGATCCCTTGCCAGCCCATCATTTCTGATGGGTAGCTCCATTTCTAATGGAGCTGTCTATTATTGAGTTTTAAGAGTTCTTTATACATGCTGGTGGTATCCAGCATAAGGTTTTATCTAGTATAATCTTATTAAGGTATAATTTGTAAATACTTTTCCCTATTCTGTGGGATTTTTTTCTCCTTCACTATATTGATGCTATCATTTGAAATACAAAGCTTTTAATTTTGATGAGTTCCAACTTTTTCATTTGTTTTTTCTTTTGTTGTATGTACGTTAGGTGTTATACCCAAGAAATGGCTTGTTTATAGCTTTTTTTCCTTTCTTTCTTCTTCTTTTGGTCTGTGTCTTCTTATCTCCTTCAATTTGTTTAAAGCTCGATCCCAGTCCTTTTCCGTTCTTCGGCAATACCTTCTTTCTACTTATACTTTCTGTGGCTATAGTTGTATTTACTAATCGTATCACATTCTTTTCATAAATGTTTATCTCCCTTCCAGTTTTTGCCTCAGGGTTGCATGAGGCAAGAACTGGATGTGAGGCAGCTGTGTGCCTGACATTTTTTCTTGTATTTGAGACATGTATCTAAAGCCATATTTATATTCTACTTCTAACTGAAAGAAAATGGAAAACAATAAATATCACTGCATCCTGAATATTTTCTGTACTTCCTTTGTGCATGATTTTTGTATTATCCATCTAGGCATGTCAATTAAAGCTTAGGTAGCATCTCTTCTCTGATCTTCTGTACCTCTCTTCTCGTGTATATTATTATTGATCCCTATGGATTGTCACTTAAGTGTTTCTTGAACCCACCCACTTCTCCCCATCTCCTGCTTGCTGGTCAGGTCTAATCTTTCTTGAGCTATTGAGCCAGCCTGGGAGCGTGCCTCCTGCCCGGGTCTTCACCCCTCCATCTGTTGTTACACCATAAAGCCTTGCTACAGTGATGCCTGCTCACCTCCGGGGGAAAATGGAGGCAAAAGAGATGGAAACTGGAAGCTTTTCTCTTGTTCCCTTTTTTTTTTCCTTCTCCAGAGACAGCGTTAAATAGCATGTAAATGTTAGATGAACTGTGCTTTATATGTTAGTTTGTAAGATTTTTATTTTGTCCCATGTTTGAGCAAATTGGACCTCTGCTTTCTCTGAGGTGGGCACTCCCTGTAGCCAAGGATTGGATGTGTATCAGGCACTGCTGGCTGAGATCTTCAAAGCTGGGAGGGAAGTCTCTGATCGTCTTCCTTTTTAATTTATTTGGGATGTTTCAAATACAT